GTGTGAAATATGATATATCAAGAAATTTGTAATGTTTTGAACAACCAACAATAAAAAATAAAAAAAAATAAAGTTATATTTTAAAGTGTTAAAAAAAAAAAACAAAAAAACTAAGAGGTACATAGTTTTTTAAGAGCTGAGTCTTGAAAAATACCTAAAACATATAAGTTTGCAGATATGTTAGATGAGCCAGAAGGAAAGATAAAGAAAATGTAACATCATTTGAGTTTTAACTTTTACACATTAAAGCTCTATATTAACAAATAATCTTAAGCTATACCCAACATGACCTAATTTCTAGAAAACTGGGTTCAAAAAACAAAAACACTTTTTAGTCATTAGACTTACCACTCGGCTGAAGTACTCGTCTAAAACTTCCACAAAATTGTGGATGAATTCATAAATAGCCATCTCATTCTGAAATAAAAGACGAATATGCAATGAATTTTAGCATGGCCCTCAAGCAAATCAGACACAGAAATGGCCGGTCAGTTGGTCAGTTCCCAGGTTTTAGAGCATGTGACCAAGGGAACAAATGTGAGCAAAGTAACTTTCCATTGACCAATATTCAGAACAGTTCTACTTCTCCCTTATTTAAAAGATGCTTATTAATGAAAGAAATGGAGAAGACCTTAACCTCTAAGATTTCTTTGTGGTCAATGTTGAATCTGACCCAACTGAAACTTCAGATCCCAGTGTCAAGGCTTTGTGCTCTACTTCCTGACTTCATCACCTACTGGCTCAAGCATTTTCCAGATTCTTTGCACCATCATTTTTCTGTCTGTGAAGATGGGGAAACCACTCAAAGTGCCTTATGGATAAAAGCAATCAACTGAGATTTCAGAACATTTTTTATTTGAAATACCTGGAACTGGGATGAACACTCCTGAAGAGGAACTAACTTTAGGAGATATAAACATAGGACAATCATATAGTTTGCTCTGATTTTTGATATGTAAGCCCATGTTCAGTGTCATAACTGATTGGCCTCTGTTTGTCTGAGCTACCCCACTATCTGACAGAACAAGAGCAGGGCACTGGACTTGGTTAGGATAAAGGAAGACACTAGCTAGTGTGGTGGCATATACCTATAATCCCAACTATTTGAGCCCTCAAATTTGACACCAGCCTGGGAAACACAGTGAGAAATTGCACCCCCCCCCCAAAAAAAAAAAAAGTAAAAAAAAAGCAGAACAGAAAAACTGGAAGGCATCTGGGATGTGGCTCAGTGATAGAGTATTTGCCTAGCATATGTGAGGCCGTGGGTTCAATTCCCAGTGCTGCAAACAAACAAACAAACAAAAACCAAACAAAACCCAGAAGGGCACTCTGGGGTTTTAATTTTCTCCATTTTATAAGCTGCTCATGTAATCCAAACAAACATTCTACATATATCTCTTCCATAGAACTTTCCCACCTTGATAGAAACCAAGATCCTAGAGAAGTGCTGTGATGCGTGCCTATAATCCCAACTACTGGGAGGCTGGAGGATTGTACATTCAAGTTCAAGGATTGCAACTTAGTTAGACCCTGTCTCAAAAAAAAAAAAAAAAATGTAGGGGCGGGTTTGGGGGATAGGATGCAGCTTGATAGAACACTTGCCCAGCATGCTTGAAGCCCTAGGTTCAATACCCAGCACTACAAAAAGAATTTTAAGAAAAAAAAAGAAACCAAATACATTCTGGAAAAGAGTCATAACAATTCTTAGGCCAGTAGTAAGAAAATGTCAACATAGGGAGGAATAAAGATCAGACTGTTATCTCTAAGTATCTTGTATTTTCCAAATACTCTTAGTATCTTACCTCAGTGTCATTAACTCCAACCACAATGAAGAGAGCTGCATATTGCCGATATATCAGCTTAAAATCCTTATATTCAATAAAAGAGCACTAGATGAAACACAATTAGATATTAGTACCTTTGGTCGACAGAGACTTCTCCAAAACGGCATGCATAATTTCTAGGTTGAGTATCTGCCAACACACTCCAAGAAATACACAACATTCTCATAACATTCAGGGGACTACTTGGAAGGATCTCTAGGGGGAGTTGGAGAAACAGTCTGGGAAAAAAAGTGAGTGATCACATGGGTTCTCACATGTACTCCTCATTCCTTTACTTGGCTATGTGGAAATCAGCAGACAAAGCTAATGAATAACCAGCATTTTAAATTGCCTTCATTGTGAAAAGATTTTCTTTTTTCCATTTCCTTATGGATTCTTGGGAAGCAATTAGATATGCTTGATTTATATTTGTTAATAATCACTGAGGAGCCACATACAAGAAGTGAGTGTGTGTGTGTTTCTTTTTCCTAGATGTATAAAAATAATTCATGTAGATTCTTTTATAAATTATTTAAAGATGGCCTTCATGTGAAAGATGCTATACAAAATTTCCCAAGGTAAACACTGTTTTGTATGAATTCATAACAAGCTTATACCACTGACTTGTGGACAAAACAACTCCCTTCTCCTTCATCTATTTTCCTACAGCCAGTGGACAAAGGCATTGGGTGGATGGGAATCAGCCTTCAGGCTAAAGACACAGTAATACTCTTCCTTTGAATGTCAGAGGGTACCTGCTAAAAGGTGACTGAGCACCAACTGTATGGCTTTTTGTACTGTGATCTGTTGCTCTTGGGTTCCCAGATGCCCGTAGGAATAAAGCCTTAAGGTTTTGTTTTGTTTTTTAAATTGTATACTTTATTTATTTTTATGTGGTGCTGAGAATCAACCCAGCGCCTCACAGGTGCCAGGCAAGTGCTCTACTACTGAGCCCCAGCCCCAGCCCCAAGCTTTAAGTTTTGAGTATAAAAATTCTTCCATGGAAAATGCCATTGGGCAATCTATAAAATGGAGAAAATTGAAGCTTTTATTTAAAATTAGGATAAAGGTAAAAAGTATAGGACCATTCTGCAACTTTTGGCTCAGTAGGGTCAGTGTTATTTCCATTAGGTTGGCTCTTTCAAGAAAATGCAATTTATTTGAAAAAAACTGAAAAACATTTTTTTTCAAAGGCTCTTAGGAGTTTCTAATATTAAAAAAAGTATCAAGAACTTTTGTGGGTAAAATAATAACTATGTTGATATTAGAATATTTTGTAACCTCGTTATGCCAAAAGCCTAGCAGCTACTAGGTTTTTGTTTTTGGTTTGTTTTTTGGATACTGGGTCTCTAACCCTGGGGTTCTTTACCACTGAGTCACATCCGAAGCCCTTCTTATTTTTTATTTTGAGACAGGGTCTCCCTAAGTTGCTGAACCTGGCCTTGAACTCACAATTCTCCTATCTCAGCCTCCCAAATTGCTGGGATGTACCACTGTGCCCAGCATAGTGGGTTCTTTTTAAAATCTAAAATAATAGTATATTTCAAAAAATACCTAAGAGTATATATATTTAGTCCAAAGCCTATATTTCAAAGGGTTAACTATGAGTGTAAATGATGTTTGAAATTGTGGAGTGCCTGCATTCTGCAGAAATATTGAAACAGGAATGCTTCTAAATGTGTTTACTTAAAGCATGTGGCTATTAACAGCCCTGTAACAGTTGTTTCCATCTGACACCATAAACCAGTGTGCCATAGAAGGCCAAAGTAGTAATTCAAAGAGGAACTCTGAGATGTTTCAATTGGAAAATCAATTTAGAAGCCAAGGGAAACACATTTGCAACATGTAATGTCTGAGCACTGATTAGCTTAACATTTTATGGCTTAGTAGTGGTTTCTACAGGCAGTCTTTCTATATATGCAATGAAATGGAGAATGAAGAAAATTAATGAATGATTAATTATCATTTATAATGATAAGCTTTCTGATTTTGCCTCAGTTGTTGAGTGTTTTCCTATAGATTTGACATTTAGGACCTGGATTTAATAATTCTCTGAAGTTCTCTGTGAAAATAGACTCAGTTTTAAAAATTCCTTTTCATGGGCTAGGATGTAGCTTAGTGTGTGCTTAGCATGCACAAAGCTCTGGGTTCAAGCCCCAGAATCCCTATCTCCAATTCCTATTTGTTATTCTAATACTTTTATTTAATCACCAAATTTTGGCAAGATAGATAGATTTGCTATTTCACATGAATTTTTAACTTCTATTCCCCCATCTACATAATAAAATAGTTAAGAGCAAGTTTATTTTGCCTTTAAATCATTGGTGATGTATTTATAAGAATGATAAGCAGATAAAAATTGTCCTCTCCACAGGAATCATATTATTATTCTCCAGTATAAAATAGGTTTTGAATAGTCACCTCCATGACAGCCACCTGACCTTCATTTTTTGGCTTCAGAAAGCCACCTGCTATAGGCACTCCTAACAGTTCCAAGGACTGAATTTATATGAACAAAAGAAAGATTATATGTACTAGCAGGAGTAAATTTAGCTGCCACTTTCATGGTGAACTGAGACAAATATGCTAACCTAAATAACAACCCAAGACTTTTCCTGGTTTTTCTTGTATTTATTCTCTTAAGGAGATATAAAGAGAGCTATGCTTCCTTTCGTTTTCATTGTATTTCATTCCTTGTTTTCCCTAATAGCTGTTGAAGGAATACAGTCCAGAGAAAATGATGGCCCTTGAGACTAAGTAATAACAGATCTGTCAAGGCTGAGTTGACTGCAGAGATAAAAGAGAGCTTCAGAAACTTACCTGTTCATTGGATCGAGAGAGACAACTCTTTATGACTTCTGTTTCCAGAAGTGTTCGCTTATTAATCTCCACATGCTCATAGTACTTAGAAAGTCGGGTCTGGCCTTGTTTATTCACCATAAGGAAAAATTTTATCATTTTTTTCCTGGCCAGTGTTTTTCCAAATACAGTTTAAAAGTTATAGCAAGGGATGGCTGTCATTGGAACCTGGAGAATAGAAAAATAACAGAAAGATAAGATTAAATTTCTCAATCATATTGTCTGTTCTATAGATGAACCAGAAGTAAATAAAATATCATTTGATAATATTGGTCTTCACTCCTACAAACTGAATAAGGTTTTAATTAATAATAACCAAACAAATTTTCATTAGTTATCTTCTGAATCACTTTTCAGCATCCAAATACCGCTACTCATATTCACTCAAGTTATTCATCTGTTTTGCTGGACACCAACTTTGTGTTAAGTATCAGAAGAATAGGGAGATGAAGAGGTGATGTTTTTGATCTTCCAACTTTTACACTAACTAAAGATGCTAAACAGATAAATAAATATCAGTAATGCAAAGTGATGAATTATAACTGGGGCCAGTGCATTTGCTTAGGAGCACAGAAGGAAGGAGCAAGGAATGGTGCAAGAGAGTCAAGAAGGACTTCCCAGAGAGGGGAAATTTGAGCAACTTCTTGAAGGATGATCTAGAAGGAGAGGCTTTAGGTTGAGAAAAAAGCTCTGGAAAGTTCACTGGTTGCAGTTCAGAGGGCAACAAGAAAGGTCTCAGAAAATTAAGCTGCTCATATATGTTAAAAAGGAGGGAAAGATCACTATAGGGCTTGGTCACCCCAATGAATATTTACATCTATCTTAACAATGCTGGTTGGAAGATGACTGTGAAGAGTCAGTCTGAAAAAGACTCAACTGTTAGAACACCAGGTAGAGGATGACTTAATAGGGCTTGATCTACTTTACGGCTTTTTTAAGTATAAAACATTAAATATTTGTTTTGATGAGACATCCATATCTGTTTGAAAGTGAAGTTAATAATCCATAGTAAACTAAGCTCTACTGAAATAAGCAGATTGCATGGAAGAATTGTACTTTTGGCAAATGAATGGTTATGGAACTAATCAGAATCCTAGATAAGTACAGAGCCTGGGACTTAGCTATTTTGTCCAGTGTACAACTAACTAGCCCTTTCTATTACTGATTACTGAGAAAGGGTTAGTTAGTTGTACACTGGACAAAATAGCTAAGTCAAGCCCAACACCAGTGTTTTTCTTTAGGGTTTTTGATTGCTTGAAATAAGAAGAATGTGTCACCTAAAAGCTTAGACTACAATAAGACAAACTGGGGCTAGGGATATAGTTCAGTTGGTAGAGTGCTTGCCTTGCATGCACAAGGTTCTGGGTTCAATCCCCAGCACCATCAAAAAAAAAAGACAGACCTGGCTCTGAGATCATAGCTTTGCCACATACCTGCCATGCCATGTGACTCCAAGTTGCTAGGCCTTTCTGAACCCAGTTAGATGACTATGTGTGAGGTGTAAGAATGAGAGGAGATCACATGCATTCACCAAAAGATCTAAATGGCCTGGTATTTCCGTGGTGCAACTAGAAACAACATTATGGGATAATACTCATCCTAAATTTTCTATTGTTATTTTTTACCCTCCCAGCTCCTCTCCTTTTTTCAGAGGAAGTACTGGGTATTAAACCCAGGACCTTGTACATCCTAGGCAAACACCCTATACCACTGAGCTATACCTCCACTCCAACATCTTTTATTTCCTAAACCCTATCAGACAGGTGGTTACTCACAATTCCAAACACTATGCTATAAAGAGCCAGGCCCCACATGGCAAAGCCTGGGGTTGCAAGCATTCATTCACTGTGCAGAACAGGATGTTATCTAGACCAGCTCGGCCAGGGATATGACAGCTGGGCTGTGGGGGAGGCTTGTGGTCATTCACTCCCTTTTCCAGGAAGATAAGCTCATTACACTGTGGGCAGGATTGCGACAGTCTTCATGGTGTTTGATCATTTGGTATTAAGTGTCACTTTTATTCTCCTTACAAATTATTGCTAGTACATTATAGTAGGTGACTAGGAAGCTAAAATTATGATTCATTCCTTCTTTCTTTTTTTCTTTTCTTAGACTTTTTTTTTTTTTTTTGGTGTGTGGTGCTGAGGATTGAACTCTGGGGCCTCCTTTTACATGCGAGGCAAGCACTCTACCAACTGAGCTATATACCCAATCCCTTTTCTTTCTTTTATTCCTATTTAGCAAAGTTGTTTTAAAACCAACTTTATGATAGTTAAAAATTATAATCATATATTTAGATTTCAACTGCCAGATTAAAAAAAACAAAACAAAAACTCTGTAAGATACTCATCGCCAAACCTTGGCTTTCAATGCCCTGGTCGCATTAAATGGTAAAATGAGTTGTAAAATGATCCCAATGAGATGTTACACCAAGGGATCAAATTGGTTTCCACCTTACAAGACCAGCATTCCTTCTCACTGACCTTAAGAGCAAGGACAACAAACAAGGACATGTTAGTTCATACTCATTAGGATGCAAACTTTCAATAGAACATCTAAAGGCACCTAAAGACTTCAATACATCTTTGTTTCTCTGCAAGCTCATAAACAATTACACAATTTACAATTATAGGATAACCTGGTGGTAATAAAGTGGAGAAGCACAATTGTATTTCTACTCTAAAATATATAATGCCAAAACAATGTGGAGACTTAAGAAAGAAATACATGTTTGAGAACTGGAGATGAATGCTATAAACACCTATTCTGATTAGTAATCATCAGGAAGGAGGGATATCAAATAATTATGAAACTGAAGTTAAGACAATAAGAAGGAATATGCTCAAATATGGGGAGTGGTCAGGGAGCAGGTATGAACTTCCTGTTTAGAAATTCGTTGCATTCAGTATATACAAGGCCAGGGAAGACATTCTAATCACCAGAAAGTTAGGAGATTGTAGACTCAAAAGCTTTTGTGAATGTATATGAAAAACAAGGAAGAATAAATAAAGAAAAAAGGCATTAGGGAAAGTACAATATAAAGGATGCTAGGATGCCCTAGCAGAGAATCTAGATGAAAGAAAGGTAAATCAAACAAGAACTTTTCTTGGTTTGGCATGAACATGCTTTGAAAGCCAAGATGAGTGAGACTGGTAGATTCATAGCAGAACATGTCCATTTCCCAGGATCCTACATGGCATAAACTTAATACTCAGAGAAAACACAGAAGTACATATTAAACTGGGCAGTTTTCATATTTGTGATGGTGTCTTTCTGGGAGTTAGAACCGGAAGTCTTTACAGACTGTCGTCTAAAGATGGCAAATAGGTTTTGACCTGGGTGCTGACTAACTACAATGAACTGCCCTGAGAGGATTCTGGAGCTGCACGGAAGTTCAAAACAAAGGATGCTATGAATGATTACTGTCGATTGTGAGTTAGGAAATAGGGAGTGACAACATATGCACCTTATATTTGTCATTCCTGATGTGTACTCCCTTCATTTTGCAGATGTAGAATGAAATCCTGAATTCTGATCTCCTGACTCATAATGCTGTCTTTAATTTATCACATTGCCTTTTTGCCTCACTCAGTGTATTACTGGCATGAAACCATCATTTACATTTAATAATGTTGGTATTCTCTTTTCTAATGCTTCTGCACAATAAATCTGGAAAATATCAAATAAATCACCGCATGAAAGAATAGAACATGTTGGGTGCAGTGGTGCACACCTGTAATCCCAGCTCAGGAGGCTGAAGATAGTGAGTTCAAAGCCAGCCTCAGCAAAAGTGAGGTGCAGAGCAACTCAGTGAGACCCCGTCTCTAAATAAAATACAAAATAGGGCTGGGGATGTGACCCTGAGTTTAATCCCTGGTACCTTCCTTCCAAAAAAGAGTAGAACATGTAGCTTCTAGAAATAAAAGTGATTAAAAAAAAAAAAAAATATATATATATATAGTTGTAGATGGACAGTACCTTTTATTTATTTTTTGTTTAAACATTTTTATTTTAGTTGTAGATGGACATAATATCTTAAATTTATTTATTTATTATTTATGTGGAGCTAAGGATTGAACCCAGTGCCTCACACATGCTAGGAAAGCACTCTACAACTAAGCCCCAGCCCTAGTTCCCCTTTATTTTATTTTTATGTGGTGCTGAGAATTGAATCCAGTGCCTCCCATATGCTAGGCAAGTACACTACCACTGGGCTACAACCTTGGCCCCAAGATACTTAATTATTTTGAGCTCAGTCTCCTGTACAATGTGAATAATAATAGTACTTACCCACTAGGTTGCTGTGAGGATTAAATGAGTTAGGATATGTAACATTCTCAGAATAGAGCTCAACAGGTGTCAGGCAGCAAGTGCTAAAGGGCCAACATCATAAATAACATATCACTTTCCTTGGTGAATCCTTTCCTGCCTATTCCAGTCTCCTTTCCATCTACAAAGAGCTAATTATCCTGTCTATAATGTATGTGATTATTATTTGATTACCTGTTGAAGTCCTCTATAAGAACTGTGATTCAGACTTTTTTGAGGGGTACTGTGGATTTAACCTAGGGGCACTTAACCACTGAGCCATATCCCCAGCCCTTTTTATTTAGAGACAGGATCTTGCTGAGTTGCTTAGGGTCTTGCTAAATTTCTAAGGTTGGCTTCGAACTTGTGATCCTCCTGCCTCAGCCTCTGGAGCTGCTGGGATTACAGGAGTATGCCACCATGCCTATGTGAAACTTTTTTATTATGACTGTGACAGAGATATTTTACATTGTGATCCACTGTACAGATATGTATAAATCTGAAATAAAAGTTCACAAACACTACTTACCCATACTACTTATATTGCACTCTGATTTTTCAAAATGACATTTCATTTTGTAAAAATACATAGTTGTGAGGGATTTCTGTTACACAGATGTATGGATTGCCAGAATTCAGCAAATATAAAGACTAATGTAATTCATTATAAGTAAATTTTATACCAGAAGAAAACCAGCTACAACATTTTTTTTTTTTTCATTTCCAGTATACTGGGGATTAAACCCAGGGGTGCTCTACCACTAAACAACATTCCCAGTCCATTTTTAAATTTTTTATTTATTTTGAGTCAGCGTCTCATTAAGTTGCTTAGGCTGGCCTCAAACTTGTGATCCTCCTTC